AGGGGCGGCCCTGGCCTGGATTCGGCGGACCCTCCACCCTGGAGAGGTGCCACAGCCTCCCTAGGAAGGGGAGGGTCTCTGGGTCCCCTGAGAAGCCCACCCTGGCCTGGCCTTCTGAACCTGCCCCCAAGGCCCAGGCTGGTTCTGGGGAGATGTTTACCTCTCACAGAGAAGGAGGGGGGCATCCTTCCAGAAAACGCCCCAAGGGAAAGTCTAGTTAGCTCATAACTCAGGTCGCAGAGTTGCACGTCTGGTCTGGAAGATGCGTAGAGAGGTTTCCGGCTCCTGAAACCAGCCAGATGGGGAACCAGAAGCAGAAGTAGGGCCCCCCTTGTGGAGCCTGCAGGCCGGCGTGCCCTCCTCCTCCCGGACAGCCCCTGCAGGCTGCAGGGGCCCCCTCCAACTTGTCCCCAAGGCCAGCCTTGTGTCCTAGGTCTGTGCAGTGGCCGTGGGGTCCAGGTGCCCCGTCCTCAGGGCTCAGAGGCGCTTCCTCAGCCTCACTCTCGCCAGGCCCCTGGGGCCCGCAGCCCTTCCTCCGCCCTTCCTCTGCCCATACCAAGGTAGCGCTGGGTGGTCATAACGGCTGCCCCCTTGATGTCCGCTGCCCCCTTGATGTCCGCTGCCCCCTTGATGTCCGCTGTCCCCTTGATGTCCAGCTGCCCCCTGATGTTCCGGCACGCCCGTTGGGCAGCTCACAGCGTGTGGTGAGCCTCACGGGCTTCCCAGCTCCGGAGCATCAACCCTTGTTTCCCAGGTCACCAAGCAGCGTGGGCGGGGCACTAACTGCTGCCCCAATCTTGGGGGTTGGCTCCTGTTACCCTTGGGGGCTGGACGGGGGGGCCCCCAGTCCTGTGAGAAGTGGCCCCTGAGGGCCTGTGGGAGGGGATGGAAGGGGCACCCAGTGGCTGGCCCCAAGCCTTTCACCTTGCTTTGGGATGACTTGGCTGGGGCCCCTCTCCCCGACCATCCCTCCGGCCTCCCTGACTGGGGCCTGCGCAGCCTCACAAGGGCCAGGGCCTGCGCTGGATGCTCACGGGCAGGGCTGACCCCTAAATGGTGACTGGACCCCTTGGGGTTCTCCCTCTTGGCAGAGGTTCCTCCATGTGTCCTTTGGAGGGGACATAAGCCCCAGGGGGCAGGGCACCTGGGAGCCATCGTCCCTGAGCGTCAGTGCTTGTCACCCAAAGCCCAGGCAGGTCTGCTGGGAGGACTCCCAGGACGACCCCGCGGCCGGCCAGGCTTGAATTCCAGCGCTGCCACATGCTGGCTGCTAGGCCCAGAGGTCTCTGAAGGACACTCAGACACGTGGGACGGGCTGCTGGGCCATAAAGAGGTGGGACACATTTAGGGGACTGGCTGGATGGGCCTCCCTGGCCATGAGCCCTCCCTTGAGGTTCTTTCTACCAGCAGGTGCACCTGAGTGGCGGCTAGGGCGCTCCAGGCAAGCCAGAGTGGCGCTCCTTTGACACCGGGGCAGGTGCCTGCGAGGTGGTGCTGTGGGCAGTGACTCATCTTCTCATCTGGGCCTGGAATGGAAGCGGCTCAGGGCAGGGCCCCGGGCCCCTCCTACTGCTGAGGCCTGGCGTGCCTCTGTGAGCTTCTAGCAGCTGTTTTATAAGCCATGTGCCCTCCCATCAAAGTTAGCCAGAGTCAGGCAGGCAATTGGGAACTGGCATCTCCCCTGAGACCGCTGTACAGTCTTGTGCCCGGGAAGCTGGGTTCTGCTTCCGGGAGGTAACTGAGTCACTCCTGCTCCTGCAGTGTCGAAGGGCGGCACGCTGAGCCTCGGGCCTTCTAGAAGACTCCCTAGTATTCACTAGATCCTTGGCCCAGCCCTGTGCAGGGTGCATGGAGGTAGGCTCCCTCACTGATTTTACAGGTGGAAGGCTGCCCGGAGCCTCCGGAAAGGCCAGGAGACCTGCACTTGGCACAGGCTCCCGACAGCAGGTTCGGATCCAGCCTCTGTTGTTTCTTTTAAAATTTTATTATTTAACTTTTTTGGGGTTGTTTTTAATTTGCTATAGGGCACGTGCACTTGCCAGAGAGCAACAGAAAGAGGAAGTAAGAAGTCGCCCTCCCAGGGGAAAGGCCAGGCCGCAGCCCTTGCTCCTCCAGTCTCTTTCAGGACCCTAGGCACTACATATGCGTAGGGGTTGCTTTTCAAGATACCGAGTCCACAACTCAAACAGCCGTCAGCCATGTGGGATCCAGCTGCCTTAACCACTATGCCACCTAACTGGCCCCTAAATTTTGATTTATGACGGAGAACATGTGTGTATGCATGAGAGAGAGAAACAGAGACACACAGAGGGAGACCCCCCCCAGACCGCTGCCCAGTGGGGTCTAGGTGTGCACAGTCTCCGTCCCATCAGGGTCCTGGGCATGTGTATGAGCCCGCGTGAAGCACACAGGGCTGGGATTCGAACCCACATTGGCCATGTGGGGTCTGGTTTCCTCTACACAGCACCTACCCGCTGCACCACAGGGATAACCCCTTTTTTTCCCCCATAAAATCTCCTGGTAAACACATGATCTGAGACCACAGACACAAAAGCCTGTTCTTCCCTAAAAATGAGACCGACTCTCCCCGGGTTTCCCCCGAACAGCACCATGTTTACAGCTGGCTGTGGCCGCCCACCTTTCCAGCCTGGAGAGGAGAGTGCCCTGGTGTGGGTTTGCCTGGGGCTGCCTCCTTCCTGTGCCATACTGCCCGGCCCTCCGCGGTGCAGCCTTCCCCATGCCCCCGTTCCCGAGTGCAGCCGCACCCTGGATACTCTTGCTTGGAGGGATGCTGGTGCCGTTCGGTGGGCAGGTCTGGTTCTGCAGGGCCCGATGGCAACTTCGCCACTGCAGGGATTCTTCATCCCCTTGGCCAGAGGTCAGAGGTGCAGGCTACCTCCCGGGGCCTTTGCGGCCATGGCCTTCTGATAGGTGGCTCAGGGCTGCAGCCACCCCGGGGCTGTCCCCAAGCACCATGATGCACCATGCCCCGGGCTAGTCTCAGTGGCTTGCTGCACACTCTTACCTGGAAGAGAGTGTGACCCTTGAGGGCCACCTTCCTGAGGTGGCTCATGTGGGCATCACCATCAGAGCATGCTGCTGGCAGCAGGCACATAATAGGCACGGCCACCGGGAGCCACCTGTGAAGCCTTCAGAGGGGCACTGGCTCGCTCCCCTGAGTGACTTGGCCCTCTCCAGTCAGGCGGTCAGCAAACATTTGCTGAGTGCCTCGTGGGTGTGGATGGGTGCACACAGCCCCTGGTACCACAGGGACTAGGTCTCCGCCTGTGGGGCGCTCACCTCGGGTGAGGGAGGGAAACAGTAACGGAGCACTCAGAAAGCAGGCAGTGCCTAGGTGGGAGACGGCAACACCAGAGACTGGGCCCTGCGAGTTTGCTCTGGGATGGCTCCCTTTTGTTTGTTTGTTATGTGCTCACTAAAGACACAGAAAGAGAGGGGAGAGGAGAGAGAGACATCACCCCCCTGGGGGGATGGCCACACTGCAGTCTCCTCCTCCATTCCCCTCTCAGGAGTTTGGGCACACACTTGCACACACCCAGTGTGATGTCCAAGCTGCTGGCTCCAGGACTCGGAACACGCAGTCAGCAATGTGGATGCAGTACCTTAACCACCATGCCACCAGCTTGGGATGGTTCTCTTATGTATCCAACAAGTTGGGATTAGATGGTGAGGATGCAGCCATGGAAAGTGCTGGAAAGGAGACCGTGAAGCAGAAGACATGCGAAGGCCACGGAGTGTGAGCGTATCAGGTACATGTGAACATGTCAGGCACGTGTGATGAATGGGAAGAAGCCAGTGGGAGGGCACAGGCACACGCAGGCTTCCAGGCCATGTTTCTCACAAGCTGGCCCACTGCCTCCATGTGCCCCCTTACCCGTAACCATTTCCACCGGGTGGTCCCCATGGGGGTCTCCAGGAACACGCCTGCTGTGGCAGGAAGTTTGGGAACTGCCCTGGCTGCAACAGGCTTCCAGGAGCGCAGCGGGCGAGCCATGTCGGAGCGTGGGAAGGACGGCGTGGAGGAGGCCAGTGGTGGCCAATGATGGCTAACTCTGGCGTCAGGGGAGGGCAGCGGTGCTTGAGAAGGGACCCTGGGGCATCCATGGCGGGGCTGCAGATGCAGCCAGGACTGGAGGTGAGAAGGGCGGAGAGCACACAAAACCTCTTGGACCTCCAGCCACTCCCCCAGACGTGGGCGCCGAGGACCTGTGGCCATTCCTGGTTCCGACATGTGATCTCTGTACCTCGGCTGCTGCTTTGACACAGAGGCGGCCCCGAGGCTGGGCGCTGAGCAGGCCCAGTGAGGTAGTGTGGGGCACTGCGGGAGGAGGGCTGGCAGGGTGGGACATGAGAGTGGCTGTCAGCCTGAGGCCCTGAGGGGAGGCCACATTTCCTACCGTTCTGAGTTCCCGGAGCCTCGAAGAGGACCTAGCCAGTATCTGTCGGATAAATAATGGATTTCTGAGACCCATACGAGGGCAATTTCCTGGGCAAACACTGGGCCTGCAGAAACACCTGTTTCTGCTTGATTTCAGCCCCGGGCACTGGCCATGCCACACGTGTCTCTGTTCATGCTATGAATATTGCTGACCAGAAACTGCACGCCTGTGAGGTGGTGACACACTACTGATGGTGCATGTGCACACACACCTGCTGATCAGAGTGTCTTAGGGGAGGTGGGGTGTGTGTGTGGTACGTATGTGTGTGCAGAGGTGCAGAGACTCAGCCGAGAAGGTCCACATGTCCACATGCCTACAGATCAGGGCATCTGAGGGGAAGCAGTGTGTGTGTGTGCACATGAGTATGTATGTGTGGCATGTACACATGTATGCATGTGTCTGCCTGTGTGTCTGCTCCTACATGAATGTGGAATGTGTACATGCAGGGCATGCTTGCATGTATGTCTCTGTGGCGAGTACACATATGAGTGTATGCATATGCTGTGTGTGTGTGTGTGTGTGTGTGTGTGTGTGCACTTCCTCCTGAAGGTCAGAGATGCCACAGCCCAGGAAGCTGCTGATCCGGGCCCCAGGCCCTGGCACGGTGCCCACCTGCTGGGCTGGAGGCTGGCAGATGCACAGTAGCCCCACATCCAGTGGGGCGGGTGCTGTGTGCATGCTGGCCTTGGGGAAGGGCTCACGTCCCTCCATGGAGACGGGCCCCTGGCCTAAGGGGAAAGAGAACGTCCTCCTTGCCCCTCCTCTCGTGGTTACGTATTCAGCCCCGTGGAACTTTCTTAGTTGGAGCACGCCCGGAGCAGGGTGCTGGCGTGCGGGATTCGCTTACCCAACGCCTGCCCACACCCGCTGAGCCACTCATGAAGGCCCCTCATGTGCCGTTTTCTTGCTAAGGCATTTGGAAATGTTCTGCTTCTGAATCACAAGCAAACACTGCAATTCAACAATCTTCTTGGAGTCACTCAAGGAACTGCAGCGCACCCAGAAGTGATCCGGGCGGATGAAATCAATGGCTTTTCTGAGTGTTCTGTTTTTCTCCTAATTACCTTTTATTTGCAGATGGGGGTGGCTCTGTCTGAACGCTGGGCGGTACTGGGGGAAGTCTGGAAGCGGCCGATTTGGGGTTTCTGGGTGACACTCGTTTTTCCTTATCAGCTTCATTCTGCTCCCATAATAGACCCGAGTGTCATCCAGGAAAAGACTTCACCCCGACTGCCTGCTGCTGGCCGTGTTCCCGGCCAAGGGCCAGCCTGGCCATGGCAGGCCGTCTTTGCGCTCCAGGCGGTGGGCACCCCGCTGTGCGCAAAGGGAGCATGGCCCTGCATGGGCCCTTGTGGACGGCGCCTTGTGGCTGTGCCCTCAACCGTAGTCGGGCACCATGTCCCTGCCGCAGTCCTCGGGGGCGAGAGAGAGACTGTCGTTCATCACAGGTGGTCACTTTTTTTTTTAAAAGGTTTTTGTGATAGGGTGCATGCACTTGCCAGAGAACGAGACACGGAGACAGAGAGATAAAGGGAAAGTGAGAAATCAACCACAGCCCCCAGGATGGAGGGAGGTGGCCACGCTGCAGTCTCTCCTTTCTCCTCTCAGGATTTTCCGCACTTGCGTCCATTGTGCTTGGTGTGATTTTCAAGCCAGCGGGTCTGAGACTTGATCCACACTGCCAGCCATGAGGGATCCAGCACCTTAACGTCCATGCCACCTGCTGACCCTGGTGGCCATTCTTAAGCACCTGTTGCAGTCCAGGACTGGGGGTCACCTTCAGCCTGGCGGGAGAACAGACCTTGGGGTCAAGTGACCTCTCTGGGGCACTGTTCTCGTTTCCATTGACCTTCAGTGGCTTGGCTCGCTTGGCAGGAGAGCTCCTTCCTCGGGGGAACTGGGGCCCTCGTAAATAAGGACAGAGCAACTGAGACCCAGACCTGCAGCCCTCCCTGCTGCTCGGCTCTACCAGACACTTACATTAAGGTTGCTCTCAGGCCAGGGCTACAGCACATGTGGGACTTCCATCCACAGGTGTGGGATGGACAGGCCTGTCTACACTGAGGGCCACATCTTTTCCATCAGTTTGAAGACACTGCTTGCGATGGGGTGGTTAGTCTTCACAGCCCACTTGTGACACGAGAGCATCGTGTTTTACCGATGAGAACGCTTGGGTGTAGGACGAGGTGGGCCCCACTCAGCAGTGCGGTGAGGCTATGTTCTGGGACCTGCATGTCGCCCTGCCCAGCCCCTGCCCGGCCCACCCTCGTCCTCGCAGCAGCCCAGCTTAACTCAGTACCTGGTAGACTGAGCAACGCTGCCCGCCAAACAGGAGCCCAAGTAAACAGCGCTTCTCTGCTTCCCCTCTTTCGCCAACAGCCCCATTAACAGAAAAACTTTTTACGCGGCCATCTGGAGGCCCAGCTGTGCCCCCTCCCTGGGCACACTGACCAAGAGGAGGGCGCTCCAGGGCGGAGGCTGGGGCGTCCCACTGTCACACACTGGGTCCTGCTCACAGCAGGGACGGGCACAGGGAGGTCCAGATGCCCCTCAGGCCAGCCCAGTCTGTGGCCACCGCAGGCCTTCAGCTGCCTTGCCCAGCTTGCCCTGGCAGCCACTGTGGTTGTCCTGCCTACAGCCCAGCCCGGACCACCTCGGGTGCCATGTCGCCACCCCCGGTGGGGGCGCACTCGTGACACATAACAGGCTGGCTGTAAGGAGACGTGCCGTTGCGGTCCACCGTGCCCGGCTCTGGGTGTGCAGATGACAAACACTCGCCGAGGCTGCTCGCCTCAGGCACGTTGCGGCCAGAGCGGACACGGCAGCGCAGCTCACAGGCTGGCAGGAGATAAGGCATGTCCGAGTGATTCACAAACAGGGTCGGCCACCATCAGCGCAAAGTGCTCTGGCGCGAGGGGACTGTCCCCAGAAGACGCCAGCGCTGCCTCTGCACTTTGGAGGGGTCCGATAAGCCGGGGGAACCTGGGGTGGGAGGGGCTGCGGTGCGGCCGAGCGTCCTTCCCGCATGTACCTGTGAACCGTGGACACTGCTGAGCAGGCCTGTCTCTTCCTCTTGGATTGACACGTTCTGCTTGTCACCTTCAGTGGACAGGCGAGGCTGGCCCGGAGCATCTGCGAATCACGTGTCATCCAGATTCAGGCAGAAAAAAATCCAAACGTCGAGAAGCAAGAGTACTGACCTGTTCTAACTTTGGAAAGGTTCTTTTTAACTTTTTCTTTCTTTTTCGCTATAGGCCATGTGCACTTGCCAGAGAGAGAGAGGAAAGAGAGAAGCCAAGTGAGAGGTCACCCCCGGGAGGGTGACCACGTCACACTCCCTTCTCCACTCTGCTCTCAGGACCTTGGGCACACGTACCCACACGCCCAGTGTGATTCTCGAACTATGGCACTGGCCACGTGGGATCCAGCAGCACAGCCTCCGTGACACCAGGGTCGCTGTCGGTGCCCTTTGCCACAATTGCCTGACTGTTCCTGCGTCCAACACTCACTGTTGTGAGTGCTGAACCTACTGTGGGCACGTCACCTGTGTGACCCTGACCCAGCCTGGACCTCCGCAGGACCAATGCCCCAGAATAGGGCAGGGCCCCCACCACGAGGCCAGAGGAATAACCGGTCTCCCGGCAAATGCAGCCACGTTGGACTCAGCAGCAGCCTGGTGACACCTGAATGCCCAGTCGCAGAGCATGCTGGGCTGGCACGTTCTGGTCTAGGCCCTGGTCTGCCCAGACGCCCTCCTCCACTGTCTGGCTTCCCGTCTGGCTCACAGCAGGTCCTCGTCCTCTGGAGGAAGCAGAGGCCCGCTCCCCAGACACGCCAGCATGAGCAGCACCTCTGCTCTGCCCAGCCCTTGCATCTCAGGCCTCCCAGCAGACAATCCAGGTTTAGGAGCCAGGATTGGACTCGGGGCACAGGAAGGACAAAGCCCCCGTGGTCAGTGGAGTTTGGCTCCAAACTCAGTCCAGGCTCCTGGTCTGGTGAGAGGTGGGAAGGAAGGGTCTCGAGGGCTTCTGGCTCAGGGTCCAGGTTGGTGCTGCCTGTGGGTCCATGTCCTGTGGGACAGTGTCCTGGAGCTGCCCCCAGGCCGGGACATTTTGCTAGAATAAACGCCAGTTCATGTTTCTATCAACATTATGCTATACACCTTAAAAATGGAAATTTCCACGCTTGTCCTGCCTCCCCCAAAAGCTATCAGTGGCTGAAGACAGTGGGTAGGTGATGGGTTTAGACAGAACGGTTGTTCAGACTGGAGAGCTCTCAGAGGAGGACAGGCTATCTGGTGAGCAGGGGCTATGGTGATTGTCCTGCGGGCCTCAGAGCCAGGGCCAGTGCCTTGAGGCCACCAGGGCGAAGCCTTGCAAAAGGCAGCAGGCCTCCAGCTCTGGCGTACAGAGACAGCTGCTGATCACATACATTCTAGGAAATGACTGAGCAGTCCGTGTGGGAGAGGAAAAGCACCCCTTCCGTGGGGGTGACAGGCAGAGCAGCAAAGGCTGGGCTGGACACACCCCTGGGATGCACTGGGGGGCCGGGGAGCCGTCCCGCACTGACGACCAGAGTTGTGCTGGGCTCGCTCCAGTGAACAGCGGCTCTCGGAGTTGGGGACTCCTTGGGGACGTGACGCTCAGGCTCACAGCAGGATGCGGGAGATCGTGCACATTCAGATCGGCCAGTGTGGCAACCAGATCGGGGCCAAGGTGAGGAGTGGGTAGCAGCCCGGCCCGCGGTGCTGCCAGCCAAGAAAGCACCCCAAGGCAGAGCGAAGACAAGGGCTGGGAGGGTGCATGCGCTTGCTAGATACATGCCTCGTAAACAGTGTCTTTAAAGAAGTATGGAAATACTTGAAGGCCCACGGGCTTAATGTGACACGGAGTTTGTCCACAGTGAATGTGTGTTTAATACATGACGATCTTTTACTGATGAACGTTTCATATCTAAACAGTCATTTGTCTCTAAGTAGTTTTCTGGTTTGTTCAGAAATTTTTATGTCATCTTACTAAGGTGTCTTTTCCTTTCTCTTCCATGTTTATATTGTAAAATTTGAGAAATCAGGGACCAGCAGTTGGCGTAATGGCTACGTCACTGGACTTCCATGTAGTCGACCATGGTTCGAGTCCTGGACACAGTGGCTTAAAGTCACACTGGGTGTGTACGTATGCGTGCCCAAGATCCTGAGAGGAGAATGGAGGAGAAGGGATTGTGGTGTGGCCATCCCCCCCTGGGGGGGGGCGATTTCTTACTTTCTGTCTCTCTGTCTCTGTCTTTCTGGTGAGCACACGTGCCCTATGGCAAAAACCTCCCCAAAGAAAACCAAAACTCTGAGAAATTAGCTACTGCTTTATTTAGAATTCATTATCAAATTAAAGAGGCAAACCTACAGTACACAAAGTTTTGTGTACTGTAACAGAAATAATTTCCATCTACCCTCTGGAGTATAAACAAGCGTCTGGCCTTGTCTCCCTGCTTAAATTTTCCACAAAGTTCCTGATTCAGCTGGGTAACACAAGCGAACAGGTGTCCAGGCCCAAGGTCTCCAGTCCCACTTTCCTGATGGATGACTGTGCTCTGTAATGCCCGACCTGTTCTCTATGCAATTTCCAAATGACTTTTCCTAGTACATATTGCACTAAGACTTGACAGCACCAAAATGAAAAGACCTTGGTTTCTCACGGCAGCCTTGCTCACAAGAACTCAAAGTGGGGATGGCTCAAGTGCCATGGATGGGTGAGTGGATAAACGTGATTATGTACAAGGGAGAGTCAGCCTTACCGAGACAGAAAGTGCAACGACATGCAGCGCCGTGAAGTGCCGGAGACGGATCTTGACCCAGTTGGGAGTCCGGTTCCGCAGTTCCCTGCGCTCCTGCTGCACAGCCCAGCTAGTGTTTTCCACCTTGTGAAACTGAAACTCGGTCTCCCCAGTCTCCCCTCGTCCCCAGGCCCTGGTGCCCACGTTCTGCTTGGTCCCTGTGACCGCAGCCACTCATGGGCCCTGACTGAAGTGGACCCGCACAGTGCTCGTCCTCAGTGACTGGCTTGTCTCAGCGAGGACGATGTCCTCAGGGCCACCCACGCTGGAACAGGCTCGGCAGGTCCCTTCTGGAGGCTGAATGCTTCCCCTTGTACGTATGTACCACATGTTGTTCATCCGTTCATCCACTGACGGGCACTGCGCTGTTTCTACCTCTCGGTGGCAATGAGCAATGCTACCATGAAAAATCACAGTCAGACCTGGGGCAAAAAATGGCACTTCTTAGAAAGATGGCGGCTTCTTCCCATACCACTGTGACGAGTTCGTAATTCACAGAGAAACGGGAGCCTCGGAGGCTCTGAGCTTGAGGGTAACATGAACAAGGACCTCTTAAGGGGTGTGGGCTTGAGACGGGCTCAGCTCTCACTCCAGAACTGCGCTATCTTGTGGCAAGAGTCGCAGCAGCGACTAATTTCTTGGGACCATAAGAACTTCAAGACACATTTAATTTGTGTGGTCACAGAACTTGGGTGTATTTGTTCTTACACTCCCTGAAACGCGCTGCCAGTTTCCTGTAAAACGCAGCCTCGTTATTGAGACTATGGCCAAGCAGAACTGAATTTACAAGATTCCGGTGGAAATCACCCCTGGGGATTTTGACAGAAATGAACATATTTCTACCACAGTTTTATTTGCACGGTTCCAGAGTGCTGCCAGGGGCCACCCCAGGATGTTTCCATGCCGAGCGGTCGGTGTCTGCAGACACTGTCCGTGAATAGAAGGTAACAGGTCCCACGAGGCACGGCCGTGCGCTCTGAGCTGGTGTGTTCTGATCGCGGAGAGTGCGCACCACTTGAGGCTGTGCGTCCACATCCGAGTCATGCTCTCTGGAGTGTCAGGACTGCTCCGGCATGAAATGAGGTGCTACTGTGCGCCCGATGAGAACGGTTTGTCCGCGTTTGATGGCATCTACACTCTGCCAGCTTGGAGTGCTGGGCGAGGGGAGAGCTGCACTGCCTGGTGTGAAATTCTAAAGCAGCAGCTTCAGCGTATGCGGAGGCCTGGATGTAACAGGAGCAAAATCCAAGGGAACGTTTTAAGTCTGACCCTTTATGAAGGCGTTGGGGGGTAAAATACAGCCTCCTGCTCACCCTCAGGACAGGCAAGGTGTGAAGCACGCTGTGGGGTGGTCATTCATCAAATGGTCCCCAAAGAACATCTCAGAGAGGCTCAGGAAGGCCCAGGGAGATAGGCCCAGGAGCACGATTTCCTTGCGGGTGCTAACGTGACCTTTTCAGGGTCCCTCTCTCCCTGATCCGTCCCTCTGCTTTCAGTTCTGGGAGGTGATCGGCGAGGAACACGGGATCGGCTTGGCCGGGAGTGTGTGCGGGGCTTCGGCCCTGCAGTTGGAGAGAATCAGCGTGTACTACAATGAAGCCTACGGTAGGCCGGCCGGCTCTGGAAGCAGGGCCCCACCCCGGGAATAGCGCAGGGAGAGCACAAAGGCCCAGGAGCCCGAGATGCCAACGGGTACCATTCAGGCAGAGTACAGGCAGCAGGCCGAGGGCGGAGTTGATTGACGGGCCCACTCCCTGGTCCAGACGCAAGAGAGGGAGTAGCCACTGAGCGGGGTACGTAAGCAGCTTAAGAGCCCACCTTCTGGAACCAGCAGATGGTGTCATGTTTACGTTGCTGGACTCCCATGTAGTCGACTGTGGTTCGAATCCCAAACCCAGTAGCTTAAAACTCATGCCAGTTTCTGCATGCATGCCCCAAATCCCAAGAGGATAATCGAAAAGGGATTGTGGTGTGGCCATCTCCCTTGAGTGATCTCTGTCTCTCTGTTTCTTTCTGTCTCTCTGGAAAGCGCACACACCCTATAGCAAAAATCTCTACCAAAAAAAAAAAAAAAAGCCTCTAACACAAATAGGGCCCCCCCTTGCTTTTGTGTGCTATTAATCTTGATGTAGGGCCTGTGCGTTCACTGGAGAGAGACAGAGACAGAGAGAGGGAAAGCGAGAAGCCCCACCCAGAGGGCGTGTGACCCCCTTGTCCCCTGTTCTCCCTATGGAATTATGGGTACACATGCACACATGCCCAGCATGTTTCGAACTGTGTGGTCAGTCATGTGGGTCTAGCCACCTCAACCACTGTGCCTCTGGCTGGCCCTCCTTTGGTGTCTTTAAATGAGAACCGGAATCGTTTCCCAGAGGAAGGACAGAATCTCTGTCACTGGCAGCGTAACAGCCACCAGGGATGGGGAAGTGTTTTAGGTATTTCACAGACTGTCGTGGCTGCTGCTGGGGTCCGGGGTATGATGGGCTGTTCCGAGCTCAACCGACCTAAGGCTCTGTCTGGAACACCCACGTTTTTCTTCAAACAGATCATTGAGGAGGGGCTGACTCCACGGCGCGGCAGTCACGGCAGCCACATCCCACTGGCCGAGCTCACGCGTCAGCTCTGGCCCGGGCGACTGGAGAAGCATGCCAGCAAGCGTGCATGTGTGCCCAGAGCCCCGAGAGGAGGGGTGGACAAGCGGCTGTGGGTGCCACGCTCACAGGGAGGGTGCTCTTGCATTCCCCTCTCCGTTTTCCTGTCTCTCTCTGGCGAGCACACATGCCCTCGAGAGCAAATCAAGTTTTTAAAATTAAACATTTTTGGACGAGTATCACAAGGCTCTACTCCGCTGAAAGGCTAACGTGTAGAAAACAGTGGGCTGACTCCCTCCTCCCACAGGTAAGAAGTATGTGCCCCGGGCCGTCCTGGTGGACCTGGAGCCCGGGACGATGGACAGCATCCGATCCAGCAAACTGGGAGCCCTCTTCCAGCCAGACAGCTTTGTCCATGGTAGGTTTTTCTGAAGGGAGCTGCCAGGAAGGCAGGGGATGCTCTCTCCGCCATCTGTCTCACCCACTTGTGCCTCTGCTGCAGGTAACTCTGGGGCCGGCAACAACTGGGCCAAGGGCCACTACACGGAGGGGGCCGACCTGATGGAGGGCGTCCTGGACGTGGTGAGGCGCGAGAGCGAAAGCTGCGACTGCCTGCAGGGCTTCCAGATCGTGCACTCGCTGGGCGGGGGCACCGGCTCAGGCATGGGCACCCTGCTCATGAGCAAGATCCGGGAGGAGTACCCGGACAGGATCATGAACTCCTTCAGCGTCATGCCCTCGCCCAAGGTGTCGGACACGGTGGTGGAGCCCTACAACGCCGTGCTGTCCCTCCACCAGCTCATCGAGAACGCCGATGCCTGCTTCTGCATCGACAATGAGGCCCTCTACGACATCTGCTTCCGTACGCTGAAGCTGAGCACGCCCACCTACGGGGACCTCAACCACCTGGTGTCCTTGACCATGAGCGGTATCACCACCTCCCTGCGCTTCCCGGGCCAGCTCAACGCCGACCTGCGCAAGCTGGCCGTGAACATGGTGCCCTTCCCACGCCTGCACTTCTTCATGCCCGGCTTCGCGCCGCTCACGGCGCAGGGGAGCCAGCAGTACCGCGCCCTCTCGGTGGCTGAGCTTACCCAGCAGATGTTCGACGCCCGCAACACCATGGCTGCCTGCGACCCCCGCCGCGGCCGCTACCTGACGGTGGCCTGCATTTTCCGGGGTAAGATGTCCACCAAGGAGGTGGACCAGCAGCTGCTCTCCGTGCAGACTAAGAACAGCAGCTGTTTTGTGGAGTGGATCCCCAACAATGTCAAGGTGGCCGTCTGCGACATCCCACCCAGGGGGCTGAACATGGCCGCCACCTTCATCGGCAACAGCACAGCCATCCAAGAGCTGTTCCGCAGGGTGTCCGAGCACTTCTCGGCCATGTTCAAGAGGAGGGCGTTTGTGCACTGGTACACCAGCGAAGGCATGGACGTCGGGGAGTTTGGGGAAGCTGAAAGCGACATCCACGACTTGGTATCTGAGTACCAGCAATTTCAGGACGCCAAAGCCGTCCTGGAAGAAAGCGAGGAGGCCGTGGAGGAGATGCATGTGGCACCAGCAGATAAGGAACACTGACCACAGGGGCTGCACGCTTAGTGGCTCCGAGCAGGTTCCAAGGCCAGCTTCACCTGCAGCACCGCAAAGCCCATGGCACTATAGACCGTGCCCGGCCCTTGGCACATTCACTTCCTCCCAGGGCTGCAGAAGGGGGGCTCCCCCCAGGTGCTCTGTGGGACCAAGGGCTCCCCTTGCGGCCTGGCAGCCAGCACACTCACTCACCTGTGTTAACAGCAATGTGGATTCACTGCAAAGTGCTCCCTGTTTCCGTGTTTCTTTTTTTAATTAATTTATTCATTCATTCATTCCTTCATTTTAGCTTGACCAGAGAAGGGGGGGAGAGAGAGAGAGAGAGAGAGAGAGAGAGAGAGAGAGAGAGAGAGAAGTGAGAAAGCAAGCCACCAGGTCCAGGACTTGAACCGTGGTCGGCCATGTGGGAGTGTCCAGCACCTTAACCACCACACCACCTGCTGGTCTCTGTTTCCATGTTTCTTGGGGACTCATCTTGGGCACACCCTGCCAGGGGACCTGCATGGAGCTGCTGCTGCCCACTGTGGTTTGTCAGCTCTCGGGCAGGACTGGGGGACACTGTGCGCCCTCAGCTTCTCAGCCAGCACCGCCTGGCGGTCTGGCCCACCTTCCTCTCACACCAGGGGTGAAGGGAGAAAGGAAGCCACCAGGTCCAGGACTTGAACCGTGGTCGGCCATGTGGGAGTGTCCAGCACCTTAACCACCACACCACCTGCTGGTCTCTGTTTCCATGTTTCTTGGGGACTCATCTTGGGCACACCCTGCCAGGGGACCTGCATGGAGCTGCTGCTGCCCACTGTGGTTTGTCAGCTCTCGGGCAGGACTGGGGGACACTGTGCGCCCTCAGCTTCTCAGCCAGCACCGCCTGGCGGTCTGGCCCACCTTCCTCTCACACCAGGGGTCTGCAGAAGGGCCAGGTGACCCACGGGTGTCTGGGAGCCCCACAGCAAGGGGCACGTGTGCCAGCGCCCTTGAGAGTCCACGAGATTGTCGTCAGCCCCCGTGCACACCTGGGCACACTGATGGAAAAGGGAGAGAGCAGGGCCCAGCCCTCGCCACGGAAATACACGCCAGGAAACCAGCTGCAGGGGACACGCGAAACCCCAGAACGCCAGCCCTCCTCCTCGCCCCGGAAGAGCTGGCTGTTACCACCTGTGTGCGTTCCGTTTCTTACTAGGGACTCACTAACCATCATCTTTGGCGGCTATTTTAAGATGCCCTTTTCACTTTCACTCAGTACTCACCCCCCAGAACCGCCTGGAGCCTCTTGGCTCTAGTCTCTGACTCTCTCTCGAGCCGGGCAACCATGGACGCGGGACTCCAGCAGCGGTGGCTGCGTGCCCTTCCTGGTGACGGAGGGCGTCTCGTCAGGGAACTTGGACAGTTCAAAGGGATTCGCCCAAGCCGCCCTGTTTGTGTGATGACACAGCTTTCGCCACTGCCCGATGTGACCCGCTCACGTGACTGTAGGACCACACGAGAGTGTAATCAAACCGTCCACGCCTTTATTAGTCCCCTCCAGCCCCATCAGGGCTCCCACCGCTTTGTCAGCAGAACGACACTGTGCCACACGGAGACCCGCCCACAGCGGTAATGGGGTCCCCGTTCCCAGCCTGCCTTTGTACCCAGCAGTAACAAGGTGGGGCAGCTGCTCAGTCAGAACCCTCCCTCCTTCCACACGTGCACAATAACCAAAACACACACTGCGAGAAAACGAGGCCTTGCTGTCCACAAGCTGCCCGTCCACCAAGGGTAGAGACAAGCCTCTGAACACTTCCTCCTCGGGGCTCCAGACAGGCTGGACTTAGGAAGAAAGCGCACCTCTCCCGGCTGGTCGCAGGTCAGCAGCTTCTCGGGGGCTAACAGGCTCACAGGGGAATGTACACGGAGATGCTTCTGGCACTTCCCCCTCAAAGGCGATTACACAGACCCAAGACAATAGATGGGCTTAAATCTTTAAAAAAGCTTTTTAAAAAGCTTTTGCTGATTTATATTCCTATAAAGATTGTTTGCTCGATAGTAATCATTAAAGTATAAAGAAATTCAATTTTGGATGGCTAAATTGCTTTATTTCAGACTAAATAAATTCCTTTTCTTGGAGTCTAACCACCCAGACTGAGTAGTTAAAAATATTTCAAAATGATGCATCATTCTCTTCTTTTGTATCGTAGAAATAGATGAAGAAACAACAAATTAGAAAACGAGAGAATGTGCTCCTTCTGACTTGAAGAGCCAATTGCTCTAGCAGTATGGTTGCTACGCGACGCTGGTCTCTCCTGGCCAGAGGCAGAATGGTAACTTCTAGAACTGGTCCCATCCCTTCACTGGAACATGAAGACCGACCACCCCCTTGACCTCACCGGAGTATTGATACCCAGTGGGCCAGAGCAGGTCCCTCCGTCTTTGAACAGTTGTCCCGCCCGTGACCTAGTCCCTCTGGATGCCCAAAGTAGACTTCATCACCGGGCAGGATTTCTTGATTAGAGAAAAATCCTCAAAAACTCTTTGCTGGATGGCCAATTTGTTCTTTATCCAGTTACCTTAATCTTTTCTGTATCACAGCTGTCCCAAAGTCTCACCCCTAAGTCCCCCCTTTGCCTCCCTAGTGATGTATCTCTCATTACTTGGCTAGAAATAATCTGCCTATCCCTTACTTTGTCTGGTCCCAAAGGCCCCACAGCCCGGTGGTTCGCTTTTTCTTAGATTTTTTGCTACAGGGTGCATGTGTTCAGTGGAAAGACACAGTGAGAAATTGCCCAAAAGGGTGGATGGCCATGCCACAACCCCTTCTCCTCCAGTCTCTTTGGGATTTTGGGTATGCACACACATGCACCCAGTGAGTTTTAAGCTGCCTGGTTTGGGACTCAAACCATGGTGGATTACGTGGGAGTCCAGTGACGTAACCATTTACACCATCTGCTGGTCCCCTTCCCTGCGATTCATTTTATTCCCATGTCCTGGAATGGAAGACACTTCTTTGTTGGGGACAGAGGGACTGATGTGCCTGGCTGTGGAGGACAAAGCTCTGCTGCAGGGCCTAAGTCTCCCTGGACAGTGCTGTGGCACTGCTGTGACACTCTACCTGCTCAGTCAATAAAACCTGGAGGTCAAGTGCAGGGCAGGAAGTCACCCCCAGAAGAAGACAAAAACATTTTCTTTTAAAGATATTTAATTCCATTTGTTATTATTTTAATCTAACGAGAGAGGGAGGGAAAATGACAAAGCAAGTCACCAGGTCCAGGACTCAAATTGTGGTTGACCATGTGGGAATCCAGTGCCTTTAACCACACTGCACCGCCTGCTGAGACTTTTCTTCTGCTTGTCCTGGAAGCTGAGAGGCCCTGAGAAGTTACTGTGAGCCGAAGGACCACAGTGAGGACTGGTTCTCCAACAGGTCTTGAAAATTTCCTGTCCCAGGCCAGCAATGGTGGTTAAGGGGCTGGATCCAACATGGCCAGCTGTGTGGTTTGAGTCCCAAACCCAGTTGCTTTGAAAAACACTCGTGTGTATATGCACACCCCAAATCCCAAACGGAGGGAACAATGGAGAAGGGATTAGGGCATGACTGTACCCACTGGGGACACTTTCTCACTTTCCCTCTAGCAAGTGCTCTCTAGAAAAGTTTTTTTGACAAAGGTAAAACAAATTTCCTATTCTAATTCCTCTGACATTAAGATCAAGTAGTTAACTTTGCTGTGGTGTTTTGCTGAGCCAAAGGCTTCCAAGTTTCATAAGAAAACAAAACACTTGCAACATCCTTAAATATTTAATGAACAAATGAATCACCACACAACCATCACCGAACCATTGTAATCATCCTCTCCAGGCCTGCAGTCAAGAATCCTGGATTTTCATTTCAGCTTGGCCATCAATTCGATGAGCAAGTTATTGAACAGTTCTGCCTCATTTCCTGAGAAATGCCACCAGAATATCGAGCCATTTATAAAACAACGTGGAAGGCCTTTTGTGCTTAGACGAGCTCTATATGAATAGTTTTTCTCTACTGATTTTAAGCGCAGAATAAAAAACGAGTGCTTGTCAGTGCCTGGCCTTCTAACCTATGCTTCAGCTAATGGCTTCCATCTAGGTTACTGCGGAGCAGCACTGCCCCATGACATTGCTTGGACCAAAGGGCATGGCTCTGGGACAACCGTGCCACCTACCTGACCAGGCTCTACTATATTCAAAGATGAGGGACGGCAGAGCAGAGCCTTGGGGACAGTGTCTAGTTCTGATCACCACTTGATGTCACAAGAAACAGAACTTTCTATTTTGAGATATTTTTGAAATGTTTTCTGTATCCCGGCGGTCCCTAATAATGTATCTGCTCCCCACTTAGGAAATCCGGTTCACAGGTTAAGACCATGCAGTCATGAAGGTCGTTCCCCTAAGAGAAAGCCCACGGAAACCGAGTCAACAGCAACAGTGGACCACACTTCCATTTATTCACACTGTCGATTTATGAACAAGACGCTGCCCCCCATGCAGCGAGATCATTCTCAGTCTGCCATAACAAGTGCCCACAGCGTCACCTTGAACACGTGGCATTTCGAGCTGTAGTCAGGGTCTAGGAGGAAAAAGAAAACGCGACAGTTGCCAGCTAGTTCTGTGTTTTCTTCAAAATCCAACACGAATATGAGAAAGAACATCCTTGGAGTGAGCTGTATAACCTAACGGTAGCTTTAGTCCACAGACAGGACAAGCCTTGGCTTGGCTTCAAAAGTAGCTTGTTCAAGTACAAACCTTAGCCAAAGAGGCCCTTTCCTGCTTAGTGGCCTTAAGCCCTCTTCTACAAGGAATGACTTTGCTTTTAAAAGGCACTAAACCACCCTGCGTTAATGGGTGGCACCTTCATCCCTTGCAGTTGTAATGATGGCCATGCTTTGTTCCTGGAGGTGGGACACTACTTCCCGACCCCAGGGGCATCCCAGAGTCACAGATGTTAGAGGCGAAGCCAGGGTGTGACTTTCTCAGTTAACTCCCTGCTAAACCCAACAGCCCAAAATAAAACCAGGTCTCACTACTCAGAATCACGAGATGAGACCAAGAGCCCCTGGAAAATGGCTAAATTCAAAACACCGCATCTCCGGCCTTGTAATAAAATATTTACTAATTCAAAATGAAAATGAAAAGTGCTTAGGGAAGACATCGCCAATAAGTAAAATTGCTCATTGCCACAAGCTGCCAAAGGATGAGTATTTATCACGCTTCTGTGCTACTGCGGGTCTGAAGGATGTGCAAAGCTAAACAAGAAAATGAGATCTGAGAAACATCTCTCTGATAATTTGCCTTGTTTATCTTAAAAATAACGATGCCGAGAAAGCAGTTTAAAGACCAAGTCCCCTCTGTAGTTAGGAGCATAAAAGCCCGAACTCGCCAGCCATACAGACCGTCTTCACTGCACGGGACGGCAACACCACATCGCCGGCACCTTTGGAGGAGTGAAATGGACCACAGCCTTTGAAAGCACAATACATTCAGCACAACAGCATGCGCTGCAAGGTGTTGCAGACTTTAGTGCTTGATGCACCTGCAGCCCTTATGTTCAGGAAGTAGTGATTTGTGAGACCATTAACAGAGGTGGAGACATAAAATGCAAAGAACTGTAATTTTTCATGCTCCTGAGCTGTTATGTAACTCCAATAGCAATTACAAAAGTAAGGAGTTTATCCTCCAAATTATTTGATTTTGTGCAGACAAATGGAACAGGTTTAATTAAAATAAGATGGTGCTCCATCTAATCATTGCTAAATGAACTGAAAATCAATATGCCAATTACTTCTGTCTGTTAGGGCTCAAGAGGACATTCTGCTGCGATGCCCCAGGGCCCCCAGAGCCTGCGCACTGTAAGTTACTATCCCAACGACTAACTTCCAAATGCACTGACATCTACATACAGACAGGACTTGGGACTGCAACTACTGCGACCTCTATGACGCTCTAAAAATTTAAGATGCTTCTTCTCCGTAAATAAAAAACTTACAGATCACTCCTTTTTCACTTTCACAATTTTTACAGTGCTGCCAGAAGTTTTCTCAGCGCTCGCTTTGAATTCCGCCTTCAGTGCATCTCTCACGGCCTTTGCACAGATCTGGGAGTACCGGATGTAGCTGGGGGAATGAGAGCAGATGTGAAGTGAGCTATCAATCACAATCATCCAGCCAGAGGGCTGCTACCGAGCTGCTCCTGCCCTGTACTTTGTTTTAGTTTGGCTGTGCATTGGCCTGGCTGTGCTGCAGAACTGGACTTAAAGATGACAAAGCAAAAGCAATGGACACAAAGAGAAAGACGCACAGCAAAGCATCATGTGTACAGGTCTGAGCGCGTGGCCTCGGGCTTTTCTTCTATGGCCTGTGTTTCCCCTCTTTGGTGTATATTAATATAAAATAAAAGGAGCATAGGTATTTTGAAAATCTCACAGTATAAGAAAGAAAACAGCAAACTGTTGAAGAGGGGCTATAACATGAATAATTTTTCCTATATAAAGATTTTTCTTTAATTATATTATTCTTACAAGGGAATCATATATAATTAAAAGAAGAGAAAACTAATTTGGGTTAAAACAGCTCCTTCTTGGGCCAGCTGGTGTCACGATGACTGAGGTGGCTGGATCCCACATGGCCAACCGCAAATCATTTGGACCTGGACTGGCGGTTTCAAAGGCATGCTGGGTGCGTGTGATGCGTGTGTGCCCCAAATCTTGAGAGAATGGAGAAGGGATTGCAGCGGAGCCACTCCTCTGGGGGGTGACTTATCACTCTCTCCCACACCCCCATGAGTGCACGAGCCCTAAAGGGAAACATAAACAAAACAACAACAAAAAAACAAAACTGAAAAGGAAAGTATCCTAGTTCTTCCCCTGATAAACTATTTAAAGGCTTTCCTGAGAATACGGGATTGTCAAGTCTGCCACTGGAAACACCCCGAATCAAGGTTTCTAAGTTAACCTGAAGTCCTCTGAGAACACCCACAATTCTCACGAAACATCTAAAGGCTTGGTTTTGTTTACTTGGTAGATGGACTTCCATCCATGTCCTACTTCCTAAAAGCTGTCTGGTCATTTTTCACACTTCTGAAAACAGGAAGAGGGAGGTGTTTTCCCCAGTTTTGGGGTGTGACCTGGGGAGCAGAGATCAGAGTCCCATTGCCTGCTTCCACGCTTACTACTTGGGTACCTTCCGGCTGTTCGACCCTCTCTGCTCGCTTACCCACCTGCGGAAACAGAATAAAAGGTCAGGGACGCCTGGCCTGCTGTGACTGAGGGCGAAGTGTGAAAAGGCAGGAGTCGCCTAGTAATGACAGGACTCGTAGGAGGCGTCCTTCCAACCCCGCACACCCTGCGTGACCTCCGGCCGCAGCTGCGGGATCCTCGACACCTACAGACCGTGGCCACTGGGAGGTGCTGCTCGGGCCACGCAGCAGGTGTGATCCCGGCGGCCAGCGGTTTCCCTCCCACCAGACGCCATGTCCTCAAGTGGTGCCAGGCCTGGGCTCCCCAGGGCCACCTCTCCGAGGTGCACAGCGCGCTATGAGCTTCCAAAGGCTTTTATCCCTTGACCATGCGAAAACCCAAGGTCAACAGAGGGTTGTGTTTAAAAAGAGGAAAAGAGGCCCAAAAGGCTAACAGTGTTAGGTCAGGAAAGCCTCCCGGCCACCTCCCCTCCTGCTGGCACTTCCGTTTCACGCACCGACGCAGGGGTCTCCCAATTTATGGCCCCAACATGAACTCGTAAACGCCACGTCCCTGAAGTCCCCCGGCCGCGGCGTCCCCAGGCACCGCGGAGCGCGGGCCGAGCGCGGCTCCCGGCTCCCTACCTTCGAGGGCCCAGACCTACCTGAGTCCCGCCTGTCGCCAGTACGCCACCATGATGTCGCGAGAGGGCAGCGGTCGGGCTGAGTCGCGAGGACGCCTTCAATGTCGGCTCC